TGATACATCCTGAAAGGATCTATCCAGTGGTGGGCAGCCTATGGGCTGCATATGGCCCACTGGGATTTCACCTGAGGCCTGCATGTCCCCTATCTGCCCCCTTCCCCATGCCTCTTGCACACTGGGGCACTGGAGCCTATCTCTTCTTTCACCGCCACCTCCCTCCCAGCACTTTTGTAGCGCCATGAATCTGCTGATTCACACTCCATCCCTGCTCCTTCCCCTCCCTCTCAGAACTTGAATGCTATGAATCAGCTGTTCATGGCTGTTCAAGATGGAGGAGGAACAGGGACTGAGCATGAATTCAGTGGATTCCTGATGCTCCAAAAGTGTTTAGAGGGAGGGGGAAGAATAGGATGTATGGGGGGTCCAGTTCTCCACTGTGTGTGAGGCATTCAGGAAGGAGGCAGAAAGCGAGTGCGAGGGCCGCAAGTTGCCCACTACTGGCAATCATGCAGCCCACTCACTAGTCTTGGTTGTTCTTCACTGATCTGATCCTAGTACTATGCTGCTTCTGACCAATGAAAGCAGCTTTCCTTCATGTGTTGTGGAGATAGATGACAGTTTCTGATGTGTATCATTTAGATAACAAGAGAAAAATGGATGAAACGGATGCCTCATCAGCTGTGAAAGTAAAACGAGCTGTACAAAAGACATCCGATTTAATAGTTTTGGGTCTTCCTTGGAAAACCACTGAACAAGATTTGAAGGAATATTTTAGTACGTTTGGAGAAGTTCTCATGGTTCAGGTAAACTCTGTTGCACTTGCCTCTCCACTTAAGTCAGAATTTGAATTCCGTTAACTTAAACGTTTTTCTATTTGAGCCAGTACAAAGCAATTTGGGTAGTATAAAGAGTACATCTTTAACTACTGTAACATTAAAATTTGCTTTACACTATTTGCAGTGTGCTATTTTTTCTTGGGGATATCTTGGTATGTGTTCAGGTAGTTGACCCATATCAAGACTTGTTTCTGAAAAGGGAATAATTCTGTTGTAACAGTGTAAATGAGACAGAATATGGCCCGCTGTGTGATGATTGGGTTTTGTGCTTACATGTTAATTTATTATTACTATTATGGTAGTTGTAGTGTTTTTGAAGACTGAATTTTAAGTTTCATCAATATGTTTTATGTTTAAAGGTTTGTTTTATATTAAGATTGGATTAGCACTTTGCCACCATGCATCAAACCCATGCTCTTTTGAACACTTTTTCTGGAATTCACATAGTCTTTTTTCCTAGTATGAACCCATCAAATGCTTTTGTGTACTAAAAAAAGCATCCGGGGTGGGGCTCAGGATGAGAGCTTCAGCTTTGGGGTCAGGATTCGGGCAAGAGGGGCTTACCTTGAGTAGCTCCTGGTTAGCGGTGTATCAGGGATGCTAAGGCAGGCTTTTTGCCTGTCCTGGAACCGGAAACCTTGCTTCACCCCGGAAGCAGCCAGCAGCAGGTTCTAGCTAGTGGGAGTGTGGAGCTAGTGCTCAGGGTAGGAGCAGTGCATGGAGCCCTGTGGGCTCGTCTGACCCCCATCCTCACCTAGGAGCTGGACCTGCTGCTCACTGCTTCTGGGGCACAGTGCAGTCTGCAGTGAAAGGAGGCAGAAAGCCTGCCTTAGCAACCCAACTAATGAACCTGCAGCAATGAGACCCAGTGCCTGACATTCTGCGACCCATAGTTTGAAAACTACAGATCAAGATAATCTTTTTCTCTCTCTTCCCCTCTTCATCTTAGGTTAAGAAAGACATTAAAACTGGTCATTCAAAGGGATTTGGTTTTGTTCGATTTACGGAGTATGAAACCCAGGTGAAAGTGATGTCTCAACGTCACATGATAGATGGAAGATGGTGTGACTGTAAACTTCCTAATTCGAAGGTACCGTTCCTTACATTATTTTAGTGTTTATAGAAACAAACGTGCACTCTTTTAAAGAGTTCTGTTGACTGAAGAAGGGATTAGATGTATGGGAAAATGAAGGGGTGGACTTTGGGCCTGTGTCTAGACTAGCCACTTTTGCCAGCTGTCTACACTGGCCGCTTGAATTTCCGCAAAAGCACTGATAATCTCATGTAAGATTGTCAGTGCTTTTGCAGAAATACTATGCTGCTCCCGTTAGGGCAAAAGTCTTTTTCCGAAAAACTTTTGCGCAAAAGGGCCAGCGTAGACAGCAGAGATTTGTTTTCCACAAAAAAGCCCCGATCGTGAAAATGGCGATCGGGGCTATTTTGCGGAAAAGCGCGTCTAGATTGGCCACAGACGCTTTTCCGCAAAAAGTGCTTTTGCGGAAAAGCATCCTGCCAATCTAGACATGCATTTCCGGAATATCATGCCAGTGTAGACGTAGCCTAAAGGAATTGTTAGGTCAGAAGACAAAAGGAAGGAGTGGAGCCTGGAGGTTAGGTGGGTTGATGCTGATGTGAAGAGATTGAAGGAAAGGTAGGATGGAGGTTTGAGAAAACAACTAGTTAGCACAAGGGAGATATCCAGTCTGAAAACTATAGAAACCAGCCTGATAACATCATAAATATCTTAACAGTTCCTGTTTAAACTGCTTCAAATACTGTTCCTGTTTTGAAGAAGGGAGGCTAGTAAGACACAGAGGATAGGTGACTTGCCCAAGGCCAGACTGGGTCAATAGTAGAGCCAAGAGTAGACCACAACCCTTTTAACCAGGCCTTGCTATATATGTGAGGATTATATATTTTTCAAGTGAAGAATTTACAGCACAAGGAATGGTCTGCCTATCTTCCTGCTCTCCATTTTTAACACACATGCCGTTGGCACCACCCATAGGAGATGCTCTTTGAACAGGATGTTCTAAATAAATCTTCAGTCATCAAAAGAGCTTTAGCTTATGGGTTGTAGATATGGCTGTGGTCAGTATGTAGTGCTGTTTCCATTATTGTCAGCACTGCTGGAACTGCACCACTACCGAAGCAAAGACGGGAGATTTCCCTAAAATTTCCAGTGTAAATAAGGCCTGAGGATAAGGTTGATTCTATCCACTTAGGAATTCCAAGTTCATCCTTGCCATCTTTTTCTCAGGGGGGTACAGTTTTTAATTACGTTATCTCATAGTGTACAGCAACTGGAGGGTTGCTTTTCTTTGGCTCTTTCTGTAACTGATATACACCTGGATAACCCTTGTTAATTGTTTCTTTTGTGATAGAAAACTTCATAAGGATAGGAGGATAGGGTCATAATTCAAAATGATCTGGAGAAATAGTCTGAGGTAAATAGGTTGAAGTTTAATAAGGAGAAATACAAAGTATTCCACTTAGGAAGGAACAATCCGTTTCACACATACAGAATGGGAAGGGACTGTCTAGGAAGGAGTACTGCAGACAGGGATCTTAGGGGTCATAGTGGACCACAAGCTAAATATGAGCCAACAGTGTGACACTTGCAAAAACCAACATGATTCTGGGATGCATTCATAGGAGTGTTGTGAGCAAGACATGAGAAATTATTTTGCTCTACTCTGCACTGATTAGGCCTCAGTTGGAGTACTATGTCTCATTCTGGGCACCACATTTCAGGAAAGATGTGGAAAAATTGGAGAAGGTCCGGAGATGAGCAACAAAAATGATTAAAGGTTTAGAAAACGTGAGCTATGAGGCAAGGCTGAAGGAATGGGGCTTGTTTAGTTTGGAAAAGAGAAGACTAAGAGGGGACATGATAGTGGTTTCCAGGTATCTAAAAGGGTTTCACAGGAAGGGGGGGGGGGTGTGAATTGTTCTCCTTGAACTCTGAGGGTAGGTCAAGAAGCAATCGGCTTAAATTGCAACAAGGGAGGTTTAGGTTGGACATTAGGAAAAACTTCCTAACTGTCACGGTGGTTAAACACTGGAATAAATTGCCTAGGGAAGGGAGGTTGTAGAATCTCCATCACTGGAGATATTGAAGAACAGGTTAGACAGACATCTATCAAGGATGATATAGACCGTGCTTGGTCCTGCCATGATAGCAGGGGACTGGACTTGATCTCTCAAGGTCCCTTCCATTTCTAGGATTCTGTGATACTATAAAAAACTAAGTTGCAATTAGTATTCGGAAGAATTATTACTTTTTTTAAATCACTATTTCTTTTTCTGTGATTCTACCCAGCAAAGTCCTGATGAACCTTTGCGTAGCAGAAAGGTGTTTGTTGGGCGCTGCACTGAGGATATGACTGCAGATGAGCTCCGACAGTTTTTTTCTCAGTATGGAGAAGTAGTAGATGTCTTCATCCCCAAACCCTTCAGAGCATTTGCTTTTGTTACATTTGCCGATGATCAGGTATTTATTTTAAAAAATATTCTATTCTCTAACATTTAGGAAATTGTTTCCTAAGTCTTTTCAATAGCTCTCTGACTGTAAATGTTGACAAACTCTGTCATCTACCATGTAATTATTGGATTTGAATATACAGTGGTTTTCTCACTGCAGTTTGAGAATTTCAATTGTAATTTGAATTTCTGTTGAATTACATCAGTATATTTATAGTTCATGTCTACAGATTCATACTTTTCAGCTAGCACTGTGTCTATGGATCTTCACACTAGACTAAGTGATTTAGGTTTATTCAGTAAAGTGAAATAATCTTGTTTTTAGCTTGAATCAGAAACTTCATATACTGTTCCTTTACAGCTTACAAATCTATTCAGACTCGTGATTTGTCTTGTGCTGTAATAAGTAATTTAAAAAATGGTTTAATCCTATATTTATTTGCATCCCTTGTTTTTTATAGGTTGCCCAGTCTCTTTGTGGAGAGGACTTGATCATTAAAGGAATCAGCGTACATATATCCAATGCTGAACCTAAGCACAATAGCATTAGACAGTTAGAAAGAGGTGGAAGATTTGGTGGCAATCCAGGAGGCTTTGGAAATCAGGGTGGATTTGGAAATAGCAGGGGGGGAGGAGGAGGTTTGGGGAACAACCAAGGTAGTAATATGGGTGGCGGGATGAATTTTGGAGCATTTAGTATCAACCCTGCTATGATGGCAGCAGCCCAGGCAGCATTGCAGAGTAGCTGGGGAATGATGGGAATGCTAGCTAGTCAACAGAACCAGTCTGGACCATCAGGAAACAACCAACCTCAAGGCAACATGCAAAGGGAACAAAACCAGGGTTTTAGTTCAGGAAGTAATTCTTACGGGGGTTCTAACTCTGGGGCAGCAATAGGTTGGGGGTCAGCATCAAATGCAGGATCAAGCAGCGGGTTTAACGGAGGCTTTGGTTCAAGTATGGATTCCAAATCATCAGGCTGGGGAATGTAGATACAGTGGGCTCTGATACTGACTCTATGGTGGGAAATCAAATTTTTCTAAACTCATGGTAAGTATATTGTAAATTACATATATTCTAAAATTTTCCTGATCAATTTGTTCAATGTGCAGTATATTCAACAGTATTTTTGACATTTTTCTTTTGTAAAAAGAAAGGTTGAAGGAATTTTATAAGTTTTGTTACATAATTTGTTGGAATATGGAATGGTTGGAAGTGAATTGCTGTTTGCCTGATGGGTAAACTAACACACTACAATTGAGAGGAAGGATTTCTCCTGTAATATTTTATTCCTTGTTTCCTGGTCAGCTGAATTCTTTGCATGTTCAAAAAGAAAACCATTGGTTAGAATCTACATTCTTTTCCTCTTGTTTGTTTTAATTTGATCCCCACCATAAGAATCTCTCCAAATGCCCCAGTTGGAGAACACAGTGTTGGTGTTTGTTTTTGTTTTTTCTTTTAACACTGTCTCCCCTCATATACTAAGTACAATATGAAGGCTTCATTTAATCTCTGCAGTTCATCTCATTTCAAATATGTATGGAAGAAGCACTTAATTGAAAAGCAGTGCTGTAAATATTCTGCTTTAGGAATACTTCTGTCTACATGCTTTCTCATCCAAGAATACTTCATCACACTGCACATGCTACGTCTTAGACGGTGGGTGTTCCATTTTTATCCGCTACTCTTTATTTCATGGAGTCGTATCAACGCTATGAACGCAAGGCTGTGAGATGGAACCAGAAGGCTGTTTGAACTTTTGAAACCTTGTGTGGGATTGATGATGGTGCCGAGGCATGAGAGGGCTGGTATGTGCGAGAAAAAGGAGAGAGCGCATGCAGAGACCTGGTGGTGCATTATGGGATTTTATTTTTCTTGGCGAGATGTCTCTCAATCCTGTGGCTTTGGTGAGAGAGTGTGCAGAGAGCAATGGTAGCAAATAAAGTACGAGTGTTTCTTGCATTCAAAGGACATCCATATCTGGAAGACTAAGTGGGTTTTATACCTAGTTAACCAATTAGTTGAATGTGTTAAGTGAAATGAATCTGTATTTTTTTCCCTTTATGTCAACTGCTGTGAATGCTGTATGGTGTGTGTTCTTTTCTGTTAATGATATGTAAGTGTGGTAATGTGAATTGAAGATGATGGGGTTTGTGACGAGAACATTGAGTTTGTGGTGTGCTTTGCGGTAGTTGTAGCAGAGTTCACTAGCGAGCTCAGTGTGCCTCTTAAGGGTGGAAGTTCCACTGTCTGTAAGATATCCATAAGAATGCTGTTTGCTGCAGTTCTGTGTTTGGATGCTTTTTATAAGATTTGTCAATGTAGGAAATTCTTAAATAAAACTGATTTAAGTAATATGTGTCTTTGTTTTGCAGCCCTGAATGCAAAGAATTCATAGCAGTTAATTTATTTTACCCTTTGAGATGAAGTTCTGTAAAGTTGTTTTTGAAATAATTCAGTTTGTTTCAGATAAGATTGCTTTAAAAGTTGACAAGTCAAATGGATCCATCACTCATCATGCATTGATACGTGACACCCTACTTGTAATTCACTGTCTATTTTTGCGTTGTTCCGTGATAACATATCTATAAAAAGATTGGGTACCCTCACCTAAAATGGTAAGCCATTCCCTCTAGCTTGAATCCTCACCAAGGATGTTCCTACTTGTTTTTAGGAAGTGGGGTGGATTTTTTTGTTTAAGTTGGAGAGAAGAGGTGATTGGGAAGCAACTAACACACCTGTCAGTAGACTTGCTGCTTTTAAATGTATTTTCCAAAGCAGCTTCTGTGAGGATGAGAATGTAAAGCAAAATAAATATTGTAGGTTGTTTTTAAATCATCCTGCTGATTAGAAATCAGTAGAACAATATTCCCACTCTGTCAGCACAAAGAAACTGACAAACTTGTGACTAAAATTAATTATTAGCGCCTGCTGAAGAATGTCCACCTGATGAAGTATTGGTGGAGGTTTCTTATCTCAAAAAAAAAATGTATCCTGTAGTTACACATTCAGCACAATTACTTCCATAAGTATTAGATCTTCAGAAATTGGTTAGTATGTGCTTAATAATCAGCACCACACCGATCCTCTTATCATTGTATTCCATATTCTGCAGCTTCTACATTCAGAGATTTTGGGCAATTTAGCTTAGGTCCTTCTTTGACTTGAATATTTATTTTCTTAAAGTGGATCTTAATTAGGATGTATCCTGTTTATTTGTGTCTCAATATGATTTCTCATGAAGGGGAGACCATCTACTTTTTCTTAAATACCTACACTGATATTACTTTAATAACTCCAGTACAAAGTGATAATTAGCAACTAAGTCTCAGTCTACATACTTTAAACAACAAAAATGGGGTTATGAATCCTGAGGTACAGTTGTAATCCCACCTCTTTTCACTATTCAGAATCCTTTTCAAAAAGTTGCTTATTTTTCTGCACCTAAATCCAATATGATTTCCAAACTCTGTACCATCTGTGAATTTTGCATTTTAGCACTTGCACTATTACCAGCTACTGCTGCTGAGTAACACTTAAATGGTGTTCTGGGACCTCCAAAGACTAAACGGTGGCACCCCTTCAAGAAAGCAGATGGTAAGTTTGTCATTAGCATGGCTTTAATTTGTTTAAATGTGTTTAAGTCCAGGATCAGGTATTATAGGTTGGATTTTTAGTGTTCCCTGACCTTTAAAGAAATTCCTAAAAGTTTCATGTCAGTTTTCATACTTTATTGGTCATTTTCTCTCAATGCTTTTTTATATTCTAGTGTTTTAAGTGAGTTAATAAAAAGTATTTTTGTCACCACTTGCGAGCTTGGTCTTGTTTTTTTTTAACCATTTTCATTTCAAGTATGTATTACATATAAGATGATTAAATAGACAAAGGAGTTTTGTAGAAACAACCAGCTTTCAATAGAATTAGACTATAGTGGTAATGAACTACTAATTCTGATGGGATGTTGACAGTTTCCTGGGCAGCACTACTTTAAATATGAGTGAATACTAAGACAGGACCACTACATAACTTCTCTGAACATTTGACTGATGACTATACATGTAAAAGCATTTTCAGAATCTTGTTTATACTACCTCTGGCTCTGTGTTTTTATTTTTTGTTAGGGGCAGGTTATTAAAATAAGATCCCTACAATTGTGATTAAAGGTGTTTACTCTGTTCTTAGTTGTGTCTAGATTGGCTCTTAAAACTACAGCAGAAAAGTTCTGTCCATACACTGCCAATTGTCTTGAAGAGTTGTCTGGCTGAAGCTGTTGTGATTTTATCAGGCAGCATGGTCTGAAAGAGCTAGTCAGATATGAAAATAAAAAATTTTATATTCTCATTTGAGGGGGAATATTTATGGGCTGTGCTAATATAGTAAGTGATGAACTCTTTCCTACTGTCTCAACAAGTATGTTCTTCTGTTAATTAGATTGGTAATACTATGGTTTTGTTAGATGTATATTTTTAAAAGGATTGTTATCCACAATAATAAGTAGACACAATCAACACTAACATTCAAATGGAGTTTTCTGTAATCTTTTCTTTTTTTAGATTAAACAAGGTGCTACTAAATGTCCAATTTTCCTTGCTCATTTGAGTATTCCACCTACTAATATGTATGGAACGCAACTTTAAAATAAGATTTGGGTGTAAAACTAATTGATTAGGATAGTTGGGCAGATAACATTTGAAAGTACTAATTGAAATACTCAAACTAAACTCTTAAATCAGTTTTCAAAATATTACAAACATTTTTACTCCCTGTTCATTGTTACTGTACATCAGAAAGTAGACTGCTTAAGAATTTTTCAAAATGGTGTTTTCAATCCATGAAATGTAGTTAATCACTTGTGTATATACCCCGTATTGGCCAGCAACCGCACAGCCTAAGCCCCAGGATACAATACCACCGACAAACCATTTCTTAGTTTGACTATCTAAGAAAGTTAATGGTCCCCCACTGTCACCCTGACAAGAATCTTTTCCCCCTTCTTCAACCCCAGCACACATCATGTTTTCTGTTACTAGCTGAGATTTTCCATGTGGCATTTTTGCATATGCCTCTTTACACTTTTTGTGATCAATAACTACTAATTCAACATACAGTAGATATGGGGAAAGCCTCCTTTTGTCAGTTCTTCCCCAGCCAGCTACAGTACCCATATCATCCGTTTTCACATGGAATCTTGCTTCTTTTCTTGGCAAGCAAATGGGCGTAATATTTACATTAATTGGGACTTTATATTTAAGTTTAATCAGTGCAATGTCATTGTTAAAACTGATGCCATCGTTGTAATCTTCATGTACAAAAATTTCTTCTGCCCAGGCTTGGTGGTAGTGAACAGAATTTTTGTTCAGTAACCCCATTTTGATTATCAAGGTTGATGGATCTCTTTGACGAGCTACGACATGGGCAGCAGTTAAAACCCACTTGTCATACAAGAGGGCACCGCCACCTGCTCCTGCATCTTCAGCAATTAACAAAACTTGCCAGGGGAACTGTCCAGGCTTTGCCATTTTTCCTCCAAATATACGTTCCAAAGATGTCCTAGTTTGTATTCCACAAACTGATAGGAGAGAAGCACAAATAATAAATATTAAGCAGTAAAGATATGGAGTATGGCAACTCGTTATTAATTCTGGCTCAGATGAAGTTAGACAATGCTTCTAACCAGCTAATCATTTTGGGAACTGTAAAATCATTTGCAAAATGCAAATGTGACTAGCTTGAAATTCTAGAAAGTCTGCAACAGTGCTTGAAGTTTGCAAATGGATTGATGCTGTCAGATAACATTGATTTATAGTGGATTTTTAATGGGACTTGTGCTCATAGTACACTTAAGCACTTCTGGGGAAAAAATCCCACCTTTAATTTTTCACTGTGAGAATAATACATGTAGGGATCATCACTTGAATCCTACATTTAATTTCTTAAACTAATAGGAAAGAGGTACATATGAAGTTTTGGCATAAGAAGATGAGGTGGCTACACCTGTAATTGGAGGTTCTTCAAGATGTGTTGTTCTTATTTAGTATGAGTAACATATGTGGTTGGAGTTGAATTTAAAAGTACTGTCTGTCTGATCTGTGCATGTGTCTTGGTTCACTTGGTGGCTCTGCCCAAGGCGATAAAGATTGGGTGGACTGACAGCCTCTTTAGTTCCGTCACCACTGTGAATCAGATAAAATATGAAGCAAAGAGAAAGGAATCCAGGTAGTGGAATACAGATAGGCTATATCTACACTACAGGCTTCTTGCACAAAAACTGTTTTGCGGAAGAGTTCTTGTGCAAAATGTCTTCCACAAGAGTGCACCCACAGCAGTGTGGACGCTCTCTTGCACAAGAAAGCTCTGATGGCCATTTTAACCATAGGCGTTTCTTGCGCAAGAAATTCATGTTGCCTGTCTACACTGCCTTCTTGTGGAAGAGCTTTTGTGCAAGAGGGCTTATTCCTCATGGGGAGAGGAATAACTCTTCTGGAAGAAGCCCTGTTTTCCAATGCTTTACTGTAAATTTACTTGCGCAAGAATGTGCGTGCAGTGTAGACGCTCTACCAGTTTTTGCGCAAGAACAGTTGTTCTGCGCAAAAAGCCTGCAGTGTAGGCATAGCCATAGGGACCACATATCTGGAAGAATTCCAGTTACAAGTAAGTAACCGCCTTCAAGTGATGGTCCTAGGTGGTACAGTTAAATCAAGAACCTCCATCCCAAATGATGTGTCAGCAGCCACATCCTATAGAAGGGCATAATGCAGGGGTGGAGAACTTTGTTTGGATTGGGGGCTGATGACCCACAGAAAAATGCTGGGGGCTGCACAAAAGTGAGAAGCAAAGCAAACAAAAATTAACGTCAATAATGTGACCCCCCAACTGAGAAGCAGAAAGAATTCCCCTCACACAAGAGTCTTGAGGGGGCCCGGGCTACTAGATTTGTGGGGGCCCCAAGCCTCAGGGGCCAGACCCAGCCTGTGAGCCATAGGTTCCCCACCCCGGGATAATGCTTTGGAAATGTGGATGGACCACCACTGGACCATGTGGTTATGAGAAGAAGCAGGTGGTCTAGCCCAGTGTTTCTCAACCTTTTTTTTTTTATAAAGTTAGATTAAAAATAGGGTAAGTACCCCCAGTACCTACAGTTTTCAGAGACAAACTTTTTTTCTACTATTGCAACACATTTGTTTAAACAACTTAATTGTAGCCAGACAGGTGATGAAATTTTTGGATGTAAAGAGTACAAAAATAAAGTGCTGTAAAACTTAAAACAAAAATTCAGTTTTTTCCAAATTTCAGTTGTGTTGATGTACCCCCCCCAGACTTCTCTCAAGTACCCCTACGGGTACTCGTACCACTGATTGAGAAACACTTTTCTAGCCTGCCCTTTATCACCTTGGTTGGAGGCACGAGGTGAGCTTGGATGTGTGCACAGAGCAGTGAATGCTACTTTCAAATTCCCCAACTTCAGGGGGATGGTGCACCTGTGAGACCCACAGTGGACAACAAAAGGACTATCACTTAATGAACAGAAGGGTAAAGTAAAGAACAATGGGATGAATTAAAATCAATTTTACTAAAAAATCTTAATATTATACCATGTGAAATTACAGAATAGCACAAAACTCAGTTTCATTGATTTTCATGCTCTGAATACCAGCTAATTAGGATATTTTGCCAAGTGAATAATTTAGTTGCTCAAGCATTCAAAATTATGACATTCTTCAGTAAGAACTACTTAACAGTGGGCCCATTTTCACTCAAGTCTTATTGCTTTTGCCTGATACTTATGCAAAAAATGGACCAGTGTTAAATATACAAACTCTTAATAATTTCCAACTATTTGAAACTTTTGCCTGCCTTTGGTACCTGCCTGAGAGGCATCTGCTCTATTATACATGGATACCAACTCAAGGTCCTGTGAATCAACAGCTCCCACTGTCCTTAATGGGAAGTGATAGATGCTCAGCTTCATGCCCCCATGTTCACAAAGGTGAAAAACTCAGAAGGCCAAAAGAGGGATTCTTAAAAATGGGGACCAGTATAAAAGAATTAGTGACTATAAACAAAATACAGGACTATGTAGCACTTTAAAGACTAACAAGATGGTTTATTAGTCTTTAACCATCTTGTTAGTCTTTAAAGTGCTACATAGTCCTGTATTTTGCTTCAGCTACACCAGACTACACGGCTACATTTCTATCACTAGTGACCATAAAGGAACTCTAGCTGAACTTTGTCTCAGAGGGATAGCTGTGTTAGTCTGTAGCTGAAAAAAATTAAAAACCAACAAATAGTTCTGCAGCACCTTAGAGACTAACAAAAAATTTAGATGGTATCATGAGCTTTTATGGGCACAACCCACTTTGTCAGATGAATGGAGTAAAGGATCCAGGGTACAATAAATTGCAGAGAAAGAGGGGAGGAGGAAGGAAAAGAGAAGTAATAAAATAGGAAAAAAATATTGTCAATTAGAATGTCCGTGCTAAATGAGGCTAATAGAGTGGGCTGTAAGTTCCCAGTGCTTAGCTTTTTATTTAATTAGGGTGTAGAATGTAGCAGCCCATCTAGGTCATGTCTTTGTTCAAATCTTGATTACAGGTGTCAAACTTGTAAATGAAACTTGCCTGGACCCTCACTAATTGATCTAAAAGTGGCTATACTTAACAAAGCAAATTTTAAAAACCAGCTAGAGAGAGAATCTGCAGAACTTGGTTTCTGCAGAATAAAAGATACTTCCCCATTCTTCTCTCACTCCCCTAGAGCCTAGGGGAGCCCAGCCTAGTAGATTTTGTGTGCTCCAGCCCCATGGTGGGGCAAAAGAGAGGCTGGAGCGCCTGCACAGGCTCCCCAATGCTAGGGGGCCCTGAGCCTCGGGGGGGAGGTGTCATCAAATCTAGGCAAGCCAGAGGCCACATCCAGCCCCTGGGCCAGAGGTTCCCCACCCCTGAAAAATTAAACATTTCATTCCTAAGACCAGCCTAGTAGATTTTGTGTGCTCCAGCCCCATGGTGGGGCAAAAGAGAGGCTGGAGCGCCTGCACAGGCTCCCCAATGCTAGGGGGCCCTGAGCCTCGGGGGGGAGGTGTCATCAAATCTAGGCAAGCCAGAGGCCACATCCAGCCCCTGGGCCAGAGGTTCCCCACCCCTGAAAAATTAAACATTTCATTCCTAAGACATTATGGAATGTTTTACATTAATTGGGGGGGAGGGGGAAGAAGTTGTTAAATAAAATGGGCTGTCCTTAGTTAACTGAGAGCAGGTACTTACTGATTTTTTAACCAATTTATATTAATCCTTCTAAATAGCAAAAATGAATCAAAGTTTACAAATAGAGCATTTTTTAAAACTTTAGTATAGGACTAGATATAATTATATAAATAAGAGCGAGGCTGTGAAGTAGTGAAGAATGACCATGTAGTGGTGTTTTTTTATCAATAACTATTTAAAGACCAATCTAAGACAAATTATACTAAACAAATCTGCACTTCTTATCCTGATATCACATTCTTTCTAATCTACATCAGTTATGAACTTCTGGTATAAATTCATGTGTTACCTGGCTCACAGACAGGCAGTGCTTTTTCTCCCTTAGAATTCTGCCAGAATCCTTCAGCACCACACTGGTATCTACCTGCATGTTGCAGAAAAGGCAAAAATACAAGAATGCACACGTTAAGCTGCCATCATTTTTTTTTAAAGCTCTGATCACAAAAGCATTATAGTTTTTTCAATTCTCAAGAGTTCAGATCCTACTATTCTCTTAGCTGTTGCGAATTCCTATGTGAAAGGGGCTCTTTGGGTCACACCTCTCTCACTAACAGCTGTAAGGTATGAGAGGTTAGGGCATAATGCAGCATAAATATCCTACCTCAGCCTAAAGCCACCACTCTGTCACTTGTGAAGCAGAACCCTCAGATGTGACCTAAATGTAAAATTCTACGTTCTGAAGGGTAAAGGAATGTATAGAAAGTGGTCAGTTCTCACATAAGAATGGTTTTTTAAATCCAAGATACAGTGTGATGTTTTTGAGAGACCAACATTAAAGTGACATTCTATGTAATATTTTGAGGCTGATTTCTAGTGATCTCAATGAACTATTGCCTGTAAACACTACAACACCATTCCTCTCCAGCCACAGAAGAAAATACCATTATGAACCTCTTTGTTTATTCTGAAAGTGACTGGCTGAATTTTTGTGCCCCAAACCTGATTTCTAAATGTTATTACATGATGTAGGACCTAGACCTGGAAGATGCTGAGCACTTACATCTGAGAACAAACTGTAAGGAATAAGGTCTCCCCTTACCGTTATTACTTGCTTTCATAGTGTAGAAGGTGCTCTCACATTTGTACTGAATCTCCGCTTTGTAGGTGGTTACATCTGGTCCTGTGATGTAAGTAACCATGCCGTTGTCTATGTTTTCAGGCGGGCCACAGTTGACAACTGAAAATAGTTCCAAAAGACAGAATTGTGAAACTACAAAAGACATTTTAAAATAATAATAAAATGGCCCTTTTCAGTGTCTGCATTGACTCCTGTGCAGAGCTGATCTGCAGGAAGGGAGAGGTGCAAGACCCAAGATTTTTGTTGATGTGGATGGGAGAGGAGGTTTGGTGGTGATTATGAGGGAAGGCTTGATCGAGTGGAATTACCGGACTATCTTTTGAAGAGTGAATTACAGGAGGCCCCCGACTTGTGACTGCCTGAGTTCCAACAATTTTTGTAAGCGTGGAAGGGGCCAAAAACCTCAATTTACGTCCTCAGCTTGTATTTATGATGGTGCACGGCGCCTATCGTAAATGAGGGTTCAAGTTATGATGTCCCCAACTTGCAAGGCTTCCCAGGAACCAATCGCATCACAAGTCGGAGGCATAATGTAACTAGATACACACATTTTTATTAAATTAAAGTTATGGGTAGCACTTTTGGGTGCAGGAAGCAGGTAAGCCCAGGATCTCCCAAGGAAACAGACATGTATTTTAATCTAGATCAACATCCAAAGTATGTCATACTGCATGTTGTTCATATAGGTAATTGTTATAATACAAAGACCAGAGAGAAGTATGGATAAATCTAGAAGTCATGCTACTGAGAGTTCTAAGTTTCTTATAAGTGATGAGACTATGTCTAATAATTACTAGAGCAAGAGACAGAGAAGTAGGACTTTAGGGTTCTGTTCTTACCTGCTATTGACTTGCCTGGTGAACCATACCAAGTCCCTTTTACCTCACTGTATCTATTTACACACCTACAAAATGGGAATGTCCCTACCTATAGCACCACTGGGTGTTGTTAGAATTTGGATTTATTTAACACAAGGTAGTTGTAATTGTGCAGGGAGGAATTGAACAATTGGAATAGTTTCCCTTCTCTGCTAACATTGCTGGTAATTTACTAAATCTCTGGATACCTATAATGTGTTTTCAAAGTAAATTAATTTAGTTTTAGTACCATCATTGCTTTTTAAAACTTGCTTTTAAAGAGTGGTGAAAAAAATCAAGATAGTGTCTAGTTTTTTAAATTTAAATAAGTTAAATTGAATTAGAGGCAACTTTTACTGAACTAAAAAAATAAAAATAAAACTTTATTGGTACTTACATCCTTGCACTCATTAAGATAATTGTATAGTTTTGTGTGTCAGAAGAATTAAGATACTTTTATACTGTACAAAGTTTGACTATTCATATTGACTTACTGATGCACTTTGCCATTGGCTTGTTCCATGAACCATCCTTTTGACATTCTGCTTTAAAAGACTTCAGAACCACGTCATTCTGAACAAGGAAAATAAGAAAATAAGAATCCATTTATTTCTCTAAAATCAGTAACACAGCTTCATTAAAAAAATGATGTTGCTTATTAGAAGAATGTGTCAGTTACATATAATTTTTAGGGTTTTAGCTCACTGACATCAACTGAAAACAATGCATAAAACGGATCTTTATAGGTTTGTGATGCTATTTTCAAATGTCCTACTTAATTTTTAAACAGCAGCTATATCATTTTAGTGAGGGGGAAAGGTAATTCTTATACTGCATTCATTTCAGATACAAACAAAACCTTTCTTCTCAAGATTCAGTGGAATAAGGGAGGATAACTTCACTTCTAGAAACTTGAGACTTATATTTGTTTGGGGTGGCAGTTCTACCAACATTTTAATGGCTGCCTTGTGCGCCTACTGGTTAGTAATGGAGATGGCAAACAACATAAAAATATTTAAAGCAAGATCATGCTGTATATTCTGGATATTTATCTATTTCATTATATGAATACACCTTTTATTGTATCTAATTTTGACTATTTATTTAAATTAACATAACCTAGATGCATTTAGTTATCCTGGGTTTGTACATGAACAGCAATGTCATAAAACTGTCAAAAGCAGAATAGATTCTAAAATCTTAGGGTGTGTCTACACAGCAAGGCTTAACTCGAAATAAGCTATGCAAATTGAACTGTGTCATTTGCGTAGCTTATTTCAAAATTGGGAGCGTCTACATAGCACTTATTTCGAAATAGAGCACTCTTCCTCCGACTTCCCTTACTCCTTGTACAGTGAGGGTTACAGGAATCGGAGTAAGAAGTCTACCAGCTTGACAGTATTTTGAAATAACTACCTGCTGTGTAGACATGGACTAAGTTATTTTGAAATAATGTTGCTGTATAGATATACCCTTAGTGAATATATAGAAAATTGAGAGAAAATCATTAATGTGGGGCTTGTACATTTATTATATTGATTGCAAAGATGAGCCTGTGTGACCCATATAGTAAAGGTTAAACTGTGATCGCTGTAGCTTGCCCTGAGTGTGCGCTGTATTTGTAGTATCTTCAGAAATTGCCTAATGACCATTGAAGTTAAAATGCTATAGAACTGAATGTATCATGTCTTTCAGTGTACTAAGAGATCCAACACCTAGTTTAAAAACTTTCTCTGCAGAGAACTTTAAACAAAAATTCTATTCCGTTAAGACTATATGGTAAACATTTTTATTCTCTACTCCCAACTCAATTACTAATCTATAAGACAAATCTATAAGCAATTTCCAGAAATCTTCTAAATCTGGACACTGCTACTTGTTTGGGAAAGGACAGTTCTTTGGGGAGGATCACAGCTGTAAGATAACTAATGCAAACTATTTTATCATTAATATGCACATAATTACAGTAACAACGAGTAGTCCTGTGGCACCTTAGAGACTAACAAATATATGCATATTATCGTAAGCTTTTATGAGCAAAACCCACTTCAGATAAGCTAGAAGCTAGACTGGAAATGGAAACCAGTTCAGCTTCCAGGTCATCTGAAGAAGTGGGTTTTGCCCACAAAAGCTCATGATACTATATATTTTTTTGTTAGTCTCTAAGGTGCCACAGGACTACCCGTTTTTAAACTTACAGACTAGTATGGCTAACTTGGACTCCTTAAACTCCATTCATCTGAAGAAGTGGGTTGTGCCCACGAAAGTTCATGATACCATTTAAATTTTTTTTTAGTTTCTAAGGTGCTGCAGTACTATTTGTTGTTTTAAGTTTTTTCTATTACAGACTTAACACATCTACCCCTCTGAAACTTTTGAACATGCAAGGCACCGCATTCAGCCATAGAGAGTGGAAATCCGTCAACTACACAAGAAAACTCTCTCCGATTCAAACAGACATCTTCCTATCTAAGTGCAAACAAACAGATGAACATCGTACCTAATGGGCTAAAGAAGAAAAACCCACTACACTCTACATACCCCACAGACTACAGCAAGAGATTATGCCACACACTCTCAAAGAAACCGAGGAACCAACTAATCAGCATACTATACAACAAACAGAAGAAAATCATGAAGGAGTGCTCAACACTAGAGGCTCTCATAAAAAACCAAGTTTACACACACACTTCCTCTTGGCTGGACTTTACTAAAACCCAACAAGCCACCTACAACGCTCACTTGCCTCATGGTATTTCAATTTCAGTACCCTCAATTCACCTAGCAACACTGTCAACCTATCCAACCATACTCTTAGTCTGGCAGAAGAATCTATCCTATCTTGAGGACTTTCTTTCTGCCCCACCACTCCCACAAATATGATTCAGTTCTGTGGTGATCTGGAAGCCTATTTTGGCCACGTTCATCTAAAGGAATATTACCAACACACCAATGGACACTGAACTGACCCTTCAGCTTCTACCCCAATCCCATAAGAGGAAGGCATCCATGTGGACCCCTCCTGACAGTCATAATGACAGTTGTGACTTCTACATCGATGACTTCCGCAAATGTGCGTAGGCTGACATTGTCAGCAAACAACATGTAACACAATCTTGGTCATGCAGAACGCAATGCTACATGCATAGCCTCAAAAACAATTATAACGTAATCAAAGAGACTGAAAAAGAGGGCACTGTAGTCATTATGAACAGAACAGCTCATGAAGAGGAGGCTGCCAGACAATTCACCAACACCAGATTCTACAGGCTTCTTTCCTCTGATCCCACTAAAGAATAATAAAAAAAAAAAAATCCCCTAAAACAACTACTCATGAAACTCCCTGCTACAACTCAGGACCAATCTATATTAACACACCCCAAATCCCTGACCCGGAGATTTCTATCTGCTACTCAAGATCCATAAACCTGGAAATCCTGGACGATCCATCATCTTAGGCATTGGAAAATTTACAGCAGGATTATCTGGTTATCTTGACTCTCTTCCTAGACCCTATGCTACCAGCACTCCCACCTATCTTTGAGACATCACTGACTTCCTAATGAAACTACAGAACATAAGTAATCTTCCTGAAAATACCATCATGGCCACCATGGATGTAGCAGCTCTTTACACTTACGTTCCACATGATGATGGTTACTGGCTATCAGGAATACCATTCCTGATGATGCCACTGCTTACCTGGTTACAGAGCTCTGCGACTTTGTCCTCACCCACAACTGTTTCCAATTTGGGGACAATTTATATCCAAGTCAGCTGCACAGCTACTTGCATTTGCAAGGCCCCACAATATACCAAGATCTTTATGGCTGACTTGGAACAATGTTTCCTCAGCTCTCACCCCCTAGCACCATATGACATTTTCATCATATGGACCTATGGGAATGAGGCTCTTGAAGAATTCCACAGGGATTTCAACAACTTCCACCCCACCATCCACCTTAACCTGCACCACATAAGAGATCCACTTCCTTGACGCTACAGTACAATTACACAACAGCCACATTTCCACCACTTTATACCAGAAACCTACCGACTGTTACACATAGCTACATGTCTCTAGCTTCCATCCAAGAAACCAATTGTTTCCAGCCAGGCCCTAAAATACAACTGGATTTGCTCCAATCCCATAGACAGAGACAAACACCTACAGGATCTCTATCAAGCATTCTTAAAACTTAAATACCCACCCAGGGAACTGAAAAAACACTTTGACAGAGTCAGACGAGTTCCCAGACAACAGCTTCAAGATAGGCCCTACAAAGAAAACAACAGAACTCCACTTGTCATCAGCTGTAGCCCCCAACTTAAACCCCTCCAATGCATTAACAACTATCCACAACCTATCCTGGAAAATGACCCCTCATTCTCACAGGCCTTGGGAGATAGGCCAATCCTCACCTACAGACAACCCCCTAACCTCAAACAAATTCTTTCCAGCAACCACTCAGCACACCTTTATCATACTCATCCAGGAACCCACCTCTGCAATCAACTCCAGTGTCAACTCTGTCCACACATCTATACAAGCAACATCACAGGATCTAGCCACATAAACCATCACATCAGAAGTGCATATAACTGCACATCCACTAATGTGATCTGTGCCAGCAATGCCCCCTCTGCCATGTATATTGACCAAACTGGATGGTCTTTACGACAAAGGAAATGGACAGAAATCAGATTTTTGAAAAGGTAACACACAGAAACCTGTTGGGGAATGTTTTAACTTGCCTGGGCACCCATTAACGGGTCTCAGAATTTCCAATTACAAGCCAATTTCAAAAACCAACTTGAATGGGAAGTTGCAGAGCTTAATTTCATTTACAAGTCTGATACCTACAATAGAGGTTTAAACAAAGCTCGTAACTGGATTACCCACTACATTCCACATCCTAATGACATAAGGCCAAACACCAGGTTCTTAAGAGCACTTAGAACCCTCTCTGTTAGCTTCACTTAGCATGGAAACTCTGACTATTCTTTTCCCATTTTTTCCCCTTCCCATCCCCTGTCTTGCTCTGCTATTTATTTGGAACTTAGATGCCTTAAACTCCATTCATCTGAAGAAGTGGGTTGTGCCCACGAAAGCTCATGATACCATCTACATATTTTGTTAGTCTCTAAGGTGCTGCAGGACTATTCGTAGTTTAAGGGTTTTTTGTATGGCTACTCCTCTCAGACAGTTAGTGAGAGCAGCACAGAAGTTAAATTACTATGTACAGTGGCTGAATCGAGTTAAAACACATTTAATCCCACAAGTTAACCTCCCCAAGGAAACCAGGAGGAGGAGCAGCGGTGGTTTACTTACTTCCAACACCACATATCCAGTATCACATGACAAAGTGTAGTAGTCTTTCAGGATGTATTTTGCCTGCACTGGGTTGATGTGACCATGGGGTGGTGCTTTAGGACCAGGGCATTGCAAAGCTGTAGAAAGTGATAGAAAACAAAACATTATATTTTCTCCTGATACAGACTTTAATGCTGTTAGGAAACCAAACCCTACATTTTTCCCTCACAGTATAACTGAGGCCAAACAGAAACATTTAATGGAGAAGTCAGTAAACTTGCTGCGTTGTTCTCTTGAACAAGGGTTGCAGTTAGCAACTCTGATTCGGAGTCATGCAAAACTGATTAGTCTTCCTGAAT